ACTTTCGTACCTGTCTTACACTGAATCCTGAAGCTTTCAGCCTGAAACCTAGGCCCAACCTCGGCGGCTCTGCAAGCCTTCATCCGGAAGTCATTCTTTCTCGCAGTGGGCTATTTCGTCGTATCTCGCGGTTTCGCACTGGCAAGCTCGATTTCCGCCAGGAGAATGACAGCTGGGCAGGACTCCAAGAGATCGCTCATGAAACTGTTTTTTTTGCACGGACAGGAAGTTTCTCGTAATCCAGAAACCACTAGCAGCCTTCTAGAACGAGGTGATGAGCCTCATTTTGGCGAGCACTGCGCAGTTCCGGCAGCCAGGAAGGCGTTCTGACGTAAGGGCATGAAGCCTGTGCGTGATGCAGCAGGGTATCTCGCCAACCTAAGCTTTGCCTGACATGTACTTCTAGTGTACCTATTTCTAGTGCAAGTCAACAATTTGTCTCCAAGCAAGTACACATTGTTCTAGATGTGTGTACTTATATGTGCTTGTGATTGTACGTATGATCAGAGTTGTTTACCTTGTTGTATGGGTTCTATACTTAGATGCAAATACAAATATGAATATGAGTATCTGTGCATCTATAGATATAGATGTACATATGTATCTGTTTATACATTTACACACATACACATGCATACAGAATACATACATACATACATACATACATACATACATGCATACATGCATACATGCATACATGCATGCATACATACATACATACATACATACACTCACATATATAAACAGATAGATACATATCTATATATATATATATATGTGCATATACATGTACATGCACCGTCGACATATGCTGCGATGGTCGGACCGCAACATGTACAGCCAGGTTAACATCATGTCCGGCCACTTTGTGACAAATGTGCCTCAACAGTGGACGCAGCTGCATGAAGTATTGCACAAGTATGGTTTAGGACTCTCACCGTATTATTGCGCTGCGACAGAAGGCACAGCAACGGGTCTTGAGGGGTGAGTTCATCTTGCAGTGTGTGCATGCATTGCGTTTGTCAGGTCTGTCGCTACCCGCAGCAGAATCCGTGTTTCAGCATGCTGGGGTTTGATATTGCCAGGCACGGGCTCCAATGGAACAGCTTTCCACTGCAGGGTATCCACCGACGAGCCCGGGTCCTCATTCCAGCCTTACACGCGCATTTATCGCCGTACAGGTTTTGGCTAAACAGCATCAAGACTCTGTCGCGACTGAGGTCCGTGCTGGCATTATCGGGTTTCTCCGCCACGCTTGGAATCAATCACTTCCTCAGCCAAAACCCGAACCCAGCACTCAGGAGTGCTCACCCAGTTGGGCAATCGCCCCTTTGCTGCTGCATGTGGCAAGCTCATGCTGAGCGCACGAGGTGCATCCGGCAGGCGCACTCGGTCGGCGGTTCCGCGCTCCCGCAGTGCGCCTTCTCGCGAGCTTCCGTCCGCCGGAAATGCCGAGCGCATATGCGGTGCCATGTTTTGTCAACATGCATAAAAATGCTCGAAATGCTTATATGTAACGCCAGCACGACCGCGCAATTTCACTGCCTGTGCGACATCTCCCATAATCCCTGCCAGTATGCTGGGTCTGCGTTTTCGGGGGTGGTGCAGGAGCGCCCTCTAAATGCAGAGCAATCTTTCAATTCTAGCAGTGTCAAACTTGTTTCTTCTCGCACTCTGTGCTGTGGTCACGTATATTCGTTGTCTTGGGTGTTGTATTGGAGTGGTCTTGGAATATAATGTAGCCTTGTTGTGTTCTTCCGGTCATTTTCTTTGCGGTCTCCTTCCAGTGTTTGGGGCTACATCCGTTGGCAGTCAAGCTCATGCGTGTGATAACGAAACAGGTCGAGCACTTGTCTGTGCTCCAGTCGGCCTAGAATAGTTTACGTAGGGTTATATAATGCCGGAGCTGAACACGAACAAGAGGAATTCGGCAAGCTTCCCTCCTTAATTCTGCCGCTCACCTGCACTTGTTGGTGTAGTTTGTTAGAAATTGTACACGTAGTGCTGTCGACCAAACCCGAACTCTCCGCAGTTTTTTTCCAGTCTGCACGACGTGAATAAGTCCCCTGCATGCAGGACAAGAGTTCAATAGCTGAACTTGCAACTCGTCATGCCCAACCCTCTGATGCTGAATGCCGGAGTATGCCGGAGTCTCCAAAATGGTAGCCTGAGACTTGCTGCAGGCATTTCATCTTCGCGTGTTGAAGTCATCATCGCTCAACCCTGAAGTCCCACTCGCCGAAACCTGCTCCGAGTCACAATGATTTACCAAGCCGATTCACCAAGCCCTTGCACCGTTAAGCGTGCTACCTGCCACCCTAGGCTTCTCTAGGTTGCTGAGTCAGCTGCAGCTTGAACCCTGTATCGACTGTCATGAAGCATGGGTCATACATCTGTGTGCAAGGCTCTTCGCCTCAAGCTTTGCTTGGTCCTTCTCGTGCTTGCTGCTAGGTTGGCTGCCGGGAGCCCACTTTGATTTGAGGCATAAGTTAAGCCCTCCACCCTAGGCCCAAACCCTGGGCCCACCTGAAAGGTGTGGGTCGCGGCTCCGATCTGAAATCATCGTTGATGCAGGTGACCCCAAACTGACCGTGTCATAAGATGGAGGGGTGAACATGCAGATTCCCAGTTTGGGTAGGTTTTGCGGGCCTTTCACATGCAAACTTGCGGAGATTCACCAGGTCGAAGCTACTTCAGTTTGCAAAGGACGTGGTTCAGTTTCGATGCGCGTCGATGTCGAACATGCAAACTTAGCCCTTTAACTGTACGGCGTATGCCCTTCGATCTCTTCTTTATTGGCATTACCAGCAATAGGAAATCCACATCAAGCCTGGAATCCCATCACAAATCTCTGCGCAGACCCAAACTCCTGACACCACATACATAGGCAGCTTGAGCTTCCTTCTTTGGTGCATCAGCATCAAAATAGTTTGGATGGCTGGCTTCCTTTTGGCGGTCCAGGCAGTGTGTGTAATGTTTGTGGCTGGGCTTTCAGAACAAGCATCACGAGCATCTTGTACATCCTACTTTTGGCGAACTATCGTGTTTTGAAGATCCTTCCAACGTAGTCGCAGAGCCGTTCACTCGTGAGCCCCGTGAGACTCTTCAGGTTTGCACATCATCGCATTAGGTGGATGGCTCTCGGATGAGTATGAGGTAGATGCTCGGGATTTGTGCAGCAGAGTTCAACCGCGAGTGCTCGCTCCTCTCCAGGGAAGCGTTTTCCTTGCATGAAGTGGCCAAGGTTCTTTGGGAGCAGTGCCTGTGGAGCTCTAGGCACCTGGCTGATCACCGGAGCATTCGCCCGCTCCTCGAGGTAATTCTGTTTCGATTGGCAACGTGCAATGTGCCGGTTGCACCACAAGTGTGTGGATTCAAGATACAGCTTTCAGCTGAGAACTCTCATGAACAGCAGCGAACCACGTGGCAACACCGTCTTTGTTACACTGCAAAACTGCAGCATCTCAGGTGTTCAGTTCGGTTGAGCTTCAAGGCATCCTCATGCAGGACAGCGCGAAAGATAAGGGCAGCCACTTCATGGGCTTCACATATCATTTCCAAGCTGACCGGTGTCGCAATGCATAATATATTCCACAACTCTGCACGGCAATCTGCAAACCTGCCGCTCGACTAACACTGCATTTGGTGCATCCATGCCAGCTTGAGAATCGAGATGATTGCCAACAGCCATCTCATCCCTTGTCTTAGTCTCCAAGATACCCCAGTGAAAACTTATGCGAAGGGCAATGCGGTTCCTGTGTGATCAGCACATATCATCATCATTGTCGTCATTAACAGATTCGTCGCCCTCATGTTCACGATCGGTTTGCTTCGTCTTCTGCACCATCATCGTCATTGTCATCATAAGATCGTCGTCGTCATGTTTTTCAATGTCGTATTCGCCACATCAGTCTCGCGTCCAGCCTCGACACCGTACTCACGATAAGACCTTTCCAGAATACCGTGCTGTCAGTAGCACGACTTGATTGACCCCGCCCCCCTTCCCTACCGCCGTGTCACACCAATCTCGCATGACACTGCTCACCATACTGGTGTACCAATACGCCGATTCCCATACCACATCGTTGTAATTTCATTGCATGTCTATTCCGTAGCTTGATGAAGCGCTTGTTATGTCGTGCCGTGATACCGTATATGGTTCCTCACCTCAGGAGAGCATTTGGCCACCATGTGCTGCAGTATATCTGTCTCGTCGATCTTGTAGCAGCATAAGCACCACGTCCTTTGGCGTTACCATCGTCATCGCCACTCCAGCTAATAGAGCCATCGCAGCGGCATACAAAAAATGCTGTCGAAGCCTGCATGTTGATCAGATCATGTGTAGCAAGCAACTTGACTCGCCTAGAATCAGACTTCCGCATTTGCAGCAAACTTCAGCTACACCATACATCTCCAGATCTCAAGATTTGCAAACCCCTGTCCTGAACCGAAGTACTCATCTGTATGAGGATTGCACGTCCGTCGTGCTGGCCCGCGGGCCCCTCCCCACGCAGGAGCTTTTGGAGGCAGAGCTTAGGGTTCAGGGTTAAGCCGGGTTATCGGCTGCGGACAGTCGCATGGAGCGCTTTTGCAAGCCTTCAGCTTCGGGGGACTTCGGGCTTACCTGACTTGGAGCATGTTTTAACCGATATATGCGAAAGACTTCTACAAGTGAGAACAACCTGGTTTGAATCCAAGTTGCCCCATGGAGACGCAATGCCTGGCAATGCCTCCACCCAGGGTCCCAGGATCCAGAGTTGCGCAAGCAGCAGTTGCTTTCAGCGGCTTCAGCTGTTAGCTTCGAGAACTCTCGAATGCTTTACCAGGGGAGGCAGTGTGCTAGACGGGGCGACTGTACCTGCATCTTCAGATTGCAGAGCCGCCCGTCCGCCTGATCAGCTCGGTTCTGGGGTGCCCCTTTAGCTTACGTATATCTAGGAACGATGACAGGCCAGACCTCTGAATTGAAAGTTGAAGCGGGTCCAGGGGCGTTTCGTGCCATGTCCTTGGCGAAATATGGTGCGGTTTGCAACATCCCGCGCGAGCAGCGGTTTCAGGCAAGCGAGCTCGAATCACGGTGTGCTTTCATAAGATTCATAAGTAATTCTAAACGGAAGTTTGGGGCCAGGTGGGTCTGCTGATTTTTTTCGGTTTAGATGGGAGGAGGGGTCGGGTTTTTGTTGAGCTCTTAGCCCCAGGTGACTCCTGAGGAGCTTCTGGTGGGCTTAGGCCTCGGGCAGCATGCTACGGTAGAGCTTCACGGCTTGAAAAAGGCGGAGTTAAATGGCAAGCAAGGCACGGTGGTGGGTTACAATCCCGAAACCCAGCGCTGGACAGTTCGGCTGCATGATGACCATTCAGAAGTCGCCCTTCTGGGAACCAAGCTGGTAGTCGAGAGGGCCGCGCGTACCGGAACCTTCCGACTGGAGACGCTGCTCATTGATGTGCGAGACAACGAGGATTTCGTGAATTATCACATCCCAGGTGCCATCAACATCCCGTACAGCAAGATGTTCATGGATCAGCAACGGACGCTTTCCAAGCTGAAAGAATGGAATCTCGCGACGACCCGAATTGTCACATACGCGACACATGACAGCAAGTTCATCCACACCACAGTCGGTCGAGACCTGTCTGCCTCGAACTGGCTCTGGGAGATTCTCGGGCATCACGGTCGCAGTCGGCCTGCTTCTGTTCATCATCTGTCGTGTTTCAGAAGGTTGGGCAAGGTCATTTGGGTGTGTTTCGGCACTTCGAGGTTGCTTCGGTGAATTCTGTTTAGCGAGGCCTCCCAAACCTTGAAGCCCAAGTCCAGAAAATGTGACCGTGATTCAACTGCCTCTCAGGCATCAGCTTGCAATGCTTGCCACCCTCAGTGGTGGCTTTGCTGGTTGGGTCAAGGCCCGCTATCTTGTTGAAGGGATCATCATCCGTGAAACATGTCCCGACCTCATTGGTTCAATGCCCTTCAATCAGCTAGGTTGCGCGCCGAAACTCTCAATGAATCCCTTCAATTCCCACAGCGCCTGAACCTTGGAATCATGAACCTGGACAGCGTCATAAGACAAGGAATCACACACACACACACACTGGCTCCCGGGGCTTGTGATCCTTGGCCAGGAGGGTCGCCCCGTGGAGGCAGGGCCACTTGGTCCTGTTGGAAGCATCCATTTTCATTCAGGCCACGAGTTTGCAGAAGTCCTGTTCGGTATGGTGTAGGTGCACCATTGTAAGGCCCGGGGTGACTTTTGTTCACCCTGTGATCTGCGATATCCGCGCGGTGTGTTCCCTTCGCCTTCAAACCTCCAAGAGCCAAGGGCCTGAAACCAAAGTATAGCTAAGCGAGTTGATTTGCAAACCTCACCCCTCGTTACGAAATCCTTTTAAGATTTCTCCGCATCTAAGGTCCATGTCCGAGGGCGGACCAAGGCCCTGACGCTCTGGGGCTTATAAGTGAGTTAATGTTACGGCAGTTTTTGAAAACACAAGTGCACATGTATAGTGACATAGTCACGAAACCGTTCATGTGAACCGTTACATGCTTAAGTCCCTTGAACATGAATACACTTAGAACCAGCCATCTCGACGTCCTACACTCTGTGGGGCGTTAGTCACTTGATTACTGAACCATGGAACCATGCAGTGTTGGTATAATCATTAAATGAGCGAGTCAGCTTGGAACTATATATTAATGTAACCATGACAGGCGCACGTCAACGGGTTCGGCAAGTTTGGGCTCCCAGGCCACCGAAATAAACTCCAGCAGTCCATTGAGCGAGTCTAGTCCAAACGTGCTGACTATGTGATGGGTTTGGGATCCTATAGAACCACAACGAGTAGCGCATCAGCCCATTATGCAGTTCATCCTTTCGATGTGATGGTTTGCGACCCCACACTGTAGCCACGTAACCATCAAACCGTTAATCATTGAGCCAGGAAACCACAGACATCATCGATCTCGTCCTGTGGTGGGCTCGAGGCCCCAATCAGTTATAGTTACAGGGTGAAACGAGCGGGATCGGAAACACAGCCATGGCAAGGTACACGTATTACTAAAGCGACCTGTTTCGAAACAAGCCCCGCTTTCGAAACACTGCTGGAGACAAACATTGAGGGGAGTTACACTATTCATAACGCGCGCTGAGACTGTATGCTGAAGCCCGTTTTGGCGACAGCGCAGAGTCGGCCAGCGCTTCAATTATTTGTTTTCTGCTTCACTTCAAAGCTTTTTGCTCTTTCTTTTGAAAGCGTCCTTTCGCATCAACCCGCGGTGCATGTGAAACATACACAGATATATATATATAAAGAGTACATGTTTAAACATTTGCGTGTTCATAAAATACATAAACTAAATGCATATAATATGTGTATGCATATATAATTATATATATATATATAGATCAATATGTCCACTGATAGCCCGCACATCAAAAATATGTACACACATACATATATATATATATGTATGTGTTTATCTGTGTATATAAAGAATGAAGGGCGCATAATGGCGCCCCAACCAGACTTTGGAGAAGACTGACTGGACTGCTGAGGCATGATGCAACTATAAAAGGAGGAAATGGAATGGATAGTCGGATAGCCATTTCTTTATGTCAAAGTTGGAGGGACAACCAGCCGTGGTGGTAAATGAAGGATTGAAGTCCCGAGTGTTTCGAGTTCAGGGATGTGATTGGGTGCACGCCAAAGTGGGACAAGGTGGAGCATGCGTAACTTTCGTATGGGTTCTTGGAGAGACTGTGGCAGAGGGAAGGGAAGGCGGAGGAGAGACGATCACTGCGGCACTGGCGCGGGAGCGCGGTTGCCAACTTGGAAATATCCGAAACCTCTTGAGGCGGTGATTTCCAAACCTGACGAAGCCCCGAAGGAGAGCCCGAGGAAGCGAACAGTGTGCTGCTGCTGGCTCTGCTTGCGTACCAGTGACTTCTAGCGACTTGACGGTCAAAAATGAGCACGGGACTGGCGAGACCGGCTCCCAGGCTAAACGCCCAAACACTTTTGCGGCACGGTGGCGGAAGCCAAGTTCGGATTCGGATTATTTTGGAGCCCGCCGTATTGTAGATTTAACGATGACTGTGGTGTGGCCAGTGCCAGGCGTGTATGAAAAGTGCATGTTGCCGAGTATCACACCTACGCCTTGTTAGTCGGTGCCACTCAGCTTGTTTATATGATATTACTTTTGTTGTCAAGTTGCTATGGTGAAGTTGTTTAGAACAAGTGGATGGCGGCCAGGCCGCCAATGCCACACAGCTTGTGCATGTGATGTCATGTATGTTATCAAGTCGCTACGGTTAAGTTTTCAATACAAGTGGAGGGCGGCCAGACCAACAATGCGACGCGGCTTGTTTGGCGAATGCTACTTATGCTGTCAAGTTGCTACGGTGAAGTCGTTTAAAACAATTGGAGGGCGGCCAGACCGAAAGGCCACGGAGGTAGTTTTAGAAATTCGGTTTAGAATTTTCCGTGTGTTCAGAAACCACAGGATGATTGTAAATAGACTTGTCGGCCCGGGCCAGCGGCAAACGGAGGAGGAATACAGTTATTTGTTTAGATATTACGAGATCCGCATAGTTCAAAAATGTCACCGTGCCTTACATGCTGCATTACATACTCGCACTAAAAACCGTCTAGCACACTATATACGTGTATGTGTACAATTTCGATTCTATATATACATACGGATACAAACAAACACACACACACACACACGAACTTTTTACATATGTGTGTACACACATGGGTTAACGCAGATGATTCAAATTACCACGCTCCAGGACACGTGCGATGTTCACCAACGTGTGTATGTGTATATGTTATCGTGTATTTTTATACACACAAGATATACACACAAGTACCGAGACAGGTTGTACACATGGCGCTAAACTCGTACTGTTATTGATTTTGTATTACGTTCTTGTTGAATCACGGCAGTGGTGCAACTCATCGTTCATGTTCGACTATGCGAAGACAATAGAGCTTTTTTGTCCCGGGTCCATGTTCGTGTGAGTGGGCTCTGGAGTTGGCTGGTGTTTGGGGTGGGCGAGATGATTCGAGGTCGGTAGGGCTGGAGGTCTTTATCGAAGCCTTACTGCTCGTTGTCTAAGTCTAACTCACCGCAATTCGGCACTTGTGAGACCAGTGCCTTGCTCTTGTGAAGCACTCTTGCATCAGTACCAGGACGAAGAGCAGTCAGCGTAGAAGGTGCTACCTATAGTCTATAGTGGCAGTACATGTGCAGAAGTCTGGAGGTTGTAAAGCCGTCGCGTGAGATGTCTCTTCTGCCGCCTCCACAAGCTGGAGTGTCGTCGGTCCATGTTGGTTCCTTTGTAACAAAACTCGGTGCTAAAATTCTGGTGCTGCATTATGTTGAGCGTGTTGCGCAATGAAGCAGCCAGGGTTCGCAACTCCTTGCAGGAAAATCTTTGTGAGCGAGGACGTCCCCAAAGCATTTTCCGGAGACAGAGATGCGTATCTGAGAGCTTCCGAGAAAGAGGCAGCAGCGGAGGCAACGCCAGTTTCAGACATTAAAGAGCTTCGGAAGCACATCGGCGAGGCCCCGGCATGCGCTTGAGGTTGTTTGCTTGCTTCTTGGATGTCAGAGTTTGTTTTGAACTTGGCGCCGCATGTCATAGTGCCACAGGAGCCAGCGCAGAAGGCAGCAGCAAAAGCTGCAAGCGAGGTGCCAGAAGCGCCATCAATTTGGGAGGTGGTTGGTGGCGCGGACAAGGGTGGCATCGTTGTCCGTAAGAGCCGGGACACTGCATCAGAGCAGGAGCCACAACGACTAGCAACTGGTGCCTTGATTCAGCAGCGGCAGCTGGTCGGAGAGCGCATGCACTACGTGCTTCACACAGGTGAAGGTCCTGTCGAGGGCTGGGTGAGCATCCGACTAAAGACAAAAGACCTGGTAGCGAAAACATCACGCTGCTCCGCGGCAGAGGCCAACACGAGAGCACCGCCAGGTTGAGAAAGTGCCGCAGAGTCACCCCAACAGCGATAAGGGCAGTGATCCAGTTTCTGATTTTCACTGGGTGGCCTCGATGACGAATGCGTTGCCGAGCTGCTGACGCCCACGTGATTTATGCTTGCTGGGCTCTTGACGGCATTGCGCGGGCGAGTGATTGCGGGAGCTTCGACAGAAGGCCTGCACCAGAGAGTCGAAGCCACTTCTCTCTTGTGCCTCGCAGTTCAAATTGTAATTAGGGTTTTCTTGGACATACCTGTAGGCAAGAGATTCTAAGGGCCCATAAGTCATTCACTGAGCCTTGTGGCCGTGGAGTGACTCAAGTCAGATGAACCCTCGCTCGTTTGAGCAGCTTCATGGCTTGTCACTGGGTGTTTTACGCATCTGCAAGGCGTCTACTTCGGGGAACACATTACAGACGTTATATCATCTCATCAAGCTCTGTATCTTCACCTTCATATTCTTCGGCGTCTGCAGCACGCTCTCGCATCAGTCGGTGTCAGATATCGTGTGCGCCCGCATCTTCGCACGAGTGTGTGCTTGTGTATGGCAGATTTGTGAGCTGTGCAGGGTCCAGAAGCCCTTGCGATAGCTGACGATTAGAATACTCCAAATCGCAGCGTCTACATGTTAAACACACTGGTTTCTTATGTTGGAATGCTTCCAGTAGTATATACCTCAGCGTCCGCAACAAATCCCGCATTTTGGCCTATCTGCTTCGTGCTTCTTGAAACCAGCGTCTACATGGGGTTTAGCTGGTTCTGATGTGTAATTTCCCCGCTGATGTGTTTTCTCCCTAAACCAGCGTCTGCCGGCAGTGATGTGTATTCTCACCAGCTGATGTGAGATAACCCCAACGCCTAGTAATTCACTCAGTCCGACGAACCCCGATCTTCACGGTTGCCAGTTCATAATCAGTCCCATTGGAGACTTCGTCGTAGCCCCTTGTAAACCACCAACCTATGCACACCGCAGCAATGCTGAAGCCGAAAGCCCTTGCACGCTGCTTCGTTCCTGCTCCCAAGCCATGACTCCTAATGTCAGCGACCCTGAATACTGAGCACCCAAGCCGAAACTGCTCAACCGCTCCCACGAAAGCCCGAAAAGCTAAAATGTAGCGTACTCCTCTACAGTATACGAAAGCCCAAAGGCCTGTACATCCTTATAAACCTAAGCTCCGTGCAAGGCACTCTGCCATCCTTTAGGAAATCATGGCCCGGGCCTGGCCAGGCGAGGCTTTGCTCGTTCGTCGCAGGGTTTTCCCAGTTTGTGGTCTGAGCACTCGCGCAGGCATTCGTTTCGCACTCGCGCGGCTGTAGTTAAACTCCCTTGGCGATTGCGCTTTTTGCGTTCCGCCGCGCCCTGTTCATGACTTCGGTTGCGGTTGTGTATTGATGGCATTCCTTGGACTTATTGTGTGCACGCCGCATCACACTTTACCCTGCATGTTAAACATATACGTTTACCACAGCAATAACAGGCACGTAATACCGTGGCATGCTACACTACGACCATAATTCTTCGTATTCGCTGTCAACAGTGATAACAACCTCAGCCGCATGGGACATCTTGCATAGTCGTTTGTCGTGCAGGTTTCTTCGACAGCTTCCTAGCACTTGTATGCTGACCCAAGCCTGATTGATGTCAGTTTCCGATGTCTGGGAGTTTCAACCGGCACATAAACGTTGAGATTGGTAGCCTTGGAGAAGGACCAGAGAAGTTGAAACAGCGGAATAGCTTTGAGAGGCTCGATCGGCTCGCGACGTTGTCTCTTGCGAAAGCTCTGCTCTTCTCAAGCATATAAGTAGTGCCCTTTGAACGACTTGCCTCTCCGGTTTCTCAAAGTCTTACTTACTTTCGATTCTCAAGTGTCCAACTCTTTGGTTTCTTTCGAAGGGCTTGCTCTGAAGCTCCGGCTACTCTGATTTCGGAGGTTCTGGGCTAACGGAGATTGGATTCTTTCTTAGGCGACGAAGTTTCAATATGCCGGCTCTTTATCAAGCGCTGAGCCTGTCGGGCTTTGCGATGGGTGTTTTGTAGAGATGTAACGCTCAAGGCTTGTCCGAGCTTCGACTGCCGACATATTCGATGTCACTATATAATTATATAATTGTGTATCATCTTCTTTCTGCGCGTCTACCTCTCTATCGTTTTCGATGTCCATGCTTACAGCTGTCCATGTTTCTATCATGCGCATCTCGTTTACCCAGATATGCAGCAGCGCGAACTTCGAGCGAAGGGGGTGGGGGGGGGGCCGGGCGGAGCCTTGGAAGGCAGGGCTTGCGACGAAGGGACTCGCCTCCGAAATTTTTGTTTGCGGACTACAAATCAAAGAGTGCTCAGCAAGATCTTTCTAGTCGACAAAGAGCTGTTGTCAGCCAGTTTTACCTCTCAGTTCTAGAGCTTGCAAAGAGCCATCGGGAAAGCAGGTGGGCGGCCCTGACCAGTTTGGCGCAGGCTGTAGCCTTTGAGCACAAGGCACTCGTCTCAGTTTTCCGTTGCTTCGAGTTGCTGGGTGTGATGACGATTGATTCAAATTGAACTAACATGACACTCTTTTCGCTGCGTTGAAGAGCCCCGTGATGCTGTTGGGCTTGCCCTCAAGACATTGCCGAGGAAGTGCAGGAGTGCTCAGGTGGAGCAAGTTGGTTCACGCGAGACAGTCAAATGGTCAGATACTCAAAGGAACCCCTGTCACTGCCCGTCACATCGCGTCACCACAGAATCCTGCGACCCCACAAGCCCAAAACGTGCACCACACTGCGGCCGGCTCCAAGATATGCACTACACACTCGTGCGAGCAGAAGTCCCAGCTTGCTCAGTGCGCGGGACTGTGGCGGGAGCACGATTGGACAGGTGGGAGGGAGGACCATAGCTGCGCGGAACTGCAGATACATTGATGATGCTTACAAAATTCTGCCCGGCATGCAGAAGCCCAGGCTATCCCAGGCTGCACCTTTGTTCCACATGCCTACAGCACTGCCAAGAGAGAAAGCCCGGAAGCTGAATTGAGTAGTCCTCGCCGAGCCGCTCACGATCGTTGCCAGGGCCATCGCTTCCAGGCGCAGCTCTACACTTGCCCACAGGTGCCGCTGCTGGCTGCAGAGGCCCACGCTGGCAACAGTTAGTTGTGCATGATTGAGGTGTGGGGGATGACTTGTTGCATCAAGCCTGCTTCTTTTCAAGACTATAAGACTTTACTGGGGCAAGTCGTGGTGGTGCTGGTAATGGTGATGGTCGCGGCAGAAAGACAAGCACAGCGAAAGTGCTGGCATCCTCGCCGTCGTCAGCAGCAGTACTCATATCAGCCGTATCCTGACAAGAACGATGCGGGTGCTGCCAATGCTCATGCTTTGAGGCATGTAGGCCTGGGGTCGTGGACGACGCTTGCTGCAGCGGCTTTTGAGGAGGATGGGGATGATTATGATGTTGTTCGTGACGCTGGTGACATGAAGAACATGACCAGCAAGATGGTGATGATGATGACGATGATGATGATGATGATCGTGCTGCTGCTACTGATGATGATCATGATGATCACGGCGACGCAAACGATGAGGACGGATTTGACTCAGATGGCAAGCATGAGGAGGATGAGCAGGTCCTTGAACAAGACTATCCCGATCATGATGCTCGAGTCGATGGAGCAAAGGCTGCTGGTGACGACTGACGATGATGATGATGACAAAGATGAAACCGATGGCCATGACGTGTGCGATGCTGGTCACCATAATGTTGACTTTGCTGGTGAGGATGATCGTGATGTTCATGAAGATGACGATGATGCCGAGGACGACGACGACGACGAGGATGAGGATGAGGATGAGGATGAGGATGATGATGATGATGATGATGATAGTAATGTTGATGCTGCTGCTGCTGCTGCTGCTGCTGGGGTTGGGGCTGGGGCTGGGTTCGGAACTTTTGGGGCAGAATTCAGGGTTGGGTTAGGTTGGGGGTTTGCCAGAAGGGGCTGGTGCTGTGCTGGTGGTGCTGGTGCTGCCGCTGCTGGTGCTGCCGGTGCTGCCGGTGCTGCTGGTGGTGCTGGTGCTGGTGCTGACGATCATGATGTTTTTTTGATGATGATGATGATGATGATGACGATGATGATATTGATGTTGATGATAATCACGACGAGGATGATATTGCTGTTGATGATGGTCACGACGATGATGATGTCGATGTTGATTGTCATGATGATGATGACGACGATGATGTTATAGATGATCGTGATTGATGATGTTGTGCAGCGTCGCCAGCATGACGGACGGAGAGAAAAACCTGGATTTGAATGTGGTAGAACAGATTCTCGCTAGTTACTGTTTTTTGCTGCTCTTGCATTGGAAAGTCTTTCGCTTGGGCGGAGACTTCGTTTCCCACCTTGCAGGTCTTCGGCTTCTCCGGTTCCCGACCTCAGTGTTCTGCATCTTGTTCAGGGCTCGCATATAGCATCGCATCCAGGGTGTGCGGCAGTAGAATGTCTCCAGGTCCCGGATATCGGGTTCACAGGCTCCATCACATCAAACGTCCCAAGCTCCGAAATTGTACCGTGATTTGTACAAGGACAGAGCCAGAAATAATTTTGGATGTAACATGCAGACGCTGCTTGAAATTGCATGCACGGATGCACACGAATGCTCGTAACAAAGAAGGCTTCGTAAGGTTGCATCAGGTTTTATGGTCACATGCGTGAACCAAATCCCAGACAGCCAGCTCCAGATCATCTCGCTGTCTCAGGTGTTGTCATGCCGGCTCCGACGAGCTCGACACCTTGGACCGCTCCTGCAAAGCCGCTGAAGGTAAGACGGCTGTAATGATTGGCATTCGGCTCTCAAATAACATTTTAAAGATGGTTGCTTCTAGAGTCACTTGACTGTTAGAGATAACATAGAGTTCTGCCGTTGAACGACTTGAACCTGGCTAAGCTCGGCTCAGGGCTTTCTTTATTTGCAACTGGGTTAGTTTGTCGCCATAGCACCGGATGCCGTCGGCGTGGTTGCTGCCTATCTTCTCGTCTTCGCGACGGTTGTGTACAGCTGGCTTCCCAGGTGGTTGGACCAACCCAAGGTGGAACCACCACCGGTGCACACTCCTTCGACTTCGGCAGACGTACCTTCCGAGGGTGCTCCACCCGGGGACGAAGAGTCAGCACCACCTCATCGATTCTTCTCCTTTAATTCTCCTGCCCCCCAACCAAGGCACCAAGCTGTTGCCCGGTTATCCCAAGACTCTTTGGAACAAGTCGGGAGTTCTTCTCTCCGCCAGTAGTCAAAGGGCCGAGGCACAATCTCTAACTGAGCTGGATCGGGTAGCTCAGGAGGCGGTGCTTAGTAAGTTGGCTGACTCCACCCACCGTTCCTATGGGAGTGGCAAGAAGCAGTGGGAGATGTTCATGCGTGGCACCGGGGTCTCCTCCTTCCCGAGTGGGGAAACCCGGGAAGAAAAGACAATGAGCAGTGGCTCATTCGCTTCGTAATTTTCCTGCACCAGAAGCTGGGGCGTACGACTACCTCAACAACACGCCGACGCCGGTGGACCCCAACATCGACCCGATGCACAACCTCACCCAGGAGGAGCGGGAGGAAGTCGAGAGGATCGAGAAGAGTGCCGGGAGTTGGAGCAACGCCTTCGCAATCTACGGCCACAGATCCTGTTGCTAGAGCGCTTGGCGACCAGAGTTCCGCTGATGGCGGGAGGCCTCCTTGCCCTACAGCAGCCCTGGTTACTCAACCTGCTTGAAGGGGCGGGCAAAGGCCGGTGCACCACCGGCCCGGAGGCGGTGCCACGCTTGAAGGCTTCGAACGAGACTTTCAGGAACGACCCACTGGTCCAAGAGGACGCCGATGCAAGGCACACCTACGCCCAGCAATGGCGTCGCCATAAGTCTCACCTCAGAGCCATGCAACACCAGATGGCGAAGGGCACGGTGGACCTGTATCCGAAGTCGAGGGCAATTGGGTGTTCCACCTGGTGCAAAGCACCAGTGCGGGCACTTAAGACCTGCTTTTCCATCAGCTGTACCAGCTGCAGCATTTGCTGTTTCAGCAAAACGGAATGGGACCGCCATGCTCTGCTTTTGAGTCGTAGGGTAGATCTGGCCTTTTCTTTCTTTTATTAACTGTGGAGTCCCCGAACTGGTTCGCGGGTTTTGTTGGCCTTGTCGATTTTTGATTGATGTTTTGGCGGCGTGGACATTGTCACAACGACCCAACGGGGCATGTGCCACAGTCGTTCCGACTTTCGAATTCTTTGGTCTGACGGTGGCGCTCCGCCGTTTCTTTACTGCTCCTCCACCCGTCGCAAAAAAAAACTGATCGTGGGTGCTCCAATTGCTGCCGTTTGTTTTGGTAGGGTCGAGTGTGAATAGGCAGATTTTTTTCCTTTCCATGTAGTTATAGTCTCTGTTTTATGACAATGTTGGTGCTATTGTTGTGATTACCTTGTTATGCGGCGGCCACTATGACATAGGTGCCTGTAAACACCGCGTCGTGTTTATGACTATTATGTTTAAAATTATTATTCGTTTGTTCATGTATTGATATGTTTGTTTGCTTATATGTATGCATGCACACATTGGTGTGTAACATGCATGTATGCATGTATCTACGCCTGCAAAAGGTCGGTCTGTCTGTCTGCCTGTCTGTCCGTCCGTCCGTCCGTCCGTCTGTCTGTCTGTCTAATTGTCTCTGTGTCTGTCTGTCCGTCCGTCGGTCTGTCTGTCGGTCTCTCTGTCTCGGTCTCGGTCTCGGTCTCTGTCTGTGTCTGTCTCTGTCCTGTCTGTCTCTGTCTGTGTGTGTGTCTGTGTCTGCCGTGTCTGTCTATGTCCGTGTCTGTTTGTCTGTCTGTTTGTTTGTATGTATGTAGGTGTATGCATGCATGTATGCCATGTATGCACTTGATGGACGTACGCCTGCATGTTTGTGCAAAAGTGAATGAGCATGCAGGCCGCCGTCGCAGAAAACCGTGGGCTCTTCGCCGTTTACCTGCAGAGTGCTCTGCAGGCGCTGCCGCTGCAATTGTGGGTGCTGCACATTTCAAAAGGCATGGTTTCGGGCATCATGCTTCGGAGCTGTGTTTGTGGCAGGCTGCTGTTTCTCATGTCGCCAGAAAGTGCAGACGGAGACGGCAACTTGCACCATCAAGGAAGGAAGCTTCCTTGCACATTCCTCTGCCGGATCCCACAATGAGTCTAACAGCCTCAATCCTACATCCTGGGGTCCTAGAAGGCTTAGCCTGCGGAACAGAAATCGTGAAGCCTGCAAGTGGAGACATGACCGCCCTCGAAGCTCTCCAACCTTTAGAAGGTCAGAAGGCCTCACAGTTCCAAGCCCTACGCAGACTCGCCATCACCTTCAGCTCACCCTCAAGCACGAAAGAAAGGTTCTGCGTGAGTTCACTGTTCGCGTGCAGTGCCTCGTCGCCTCATCCTGGTCGGCCTCTGAACTTCTTTAGCATTGTTGAGCGACTCTTGATCGAATTATTCAGTTTGAGTCACAGGCGGAATCATTGGGCCGGCTTAAAGCTCCTATTCCCATGAAGGTGTGCATGCGCTGCGGCTTTCAGCATGCAGGATGTGACACCTGCAGACATGGAAGTGTTGATCCAAGGCAGAGTTCCCAGGGGGTCCTCTGGACTTTCGGCACTCATAGAATGAAGCCGAATCATCTTTTGACAAGATTCGCGCACTTTCAGACCCTAAACCTCTCTGCATCCGCGGAACCCGCACTTCTTGTACCGACTAAACACCCTGCCCCAAATCTGAAGCCTCAGGCGACGTGGACCCAAGGCCTTGACAGCCTGCCAGCTCCAGGCGAGAACTTGATCGCAGGTTTAGAAGTTGGGCATGAAGTGGATTCGGACATAAAGCCAGAGTACTTGGGTTCTGCGGGATTTTTGCATTGATTTTCTATCCTTTGAACAGGTGTACAGGATTTGCTTGCCGGTTTCTGCTCGAGGAGCCTGTTTGCTGAACGGTTAGTATCGACGGCGACAATAGAGAAGCTCCTCGCCGTAGCTTGTTCCAGGTGCTGGAAGCAGACGTCGTAGAGCTTGCGCCTCTCATGAGGACCGCCAGAGGGAGCCAAGCTCAGGAAAGGTTTCTCAGCCGAGGGGAAAGAGCGCAGGAGTCCAGGTTTGTCAGGCTCCGCAGGGGTTGACGTGGGATTTGATGGTTCCGGCTTCAATGGGCTTGGTGCTTCAGTATCCGGAGGAGCTTCGAGTCTCTTCAGTGTTCTGATTTGGGTTTCAGCCAGAGCTGTTCTGGCGAAGGTTTCCGGACGACGTGGCTGACACCATAGTGACCATGCCCGTAGCGCCTAGTTTTCCGTTCCCAAGCTCAGTTTGCATGTATGGTTCCTGACATTCGCTTCACCTGTAATGCTGTGGCCAGGTGCCGGTTTTTGGTGTGCGCTTACAGAAGTGATGCACCGGGTGACATGTTACCTGATCTCAAACGCTTCTTCGCTTCACAGTGAACAATTGACTGAAAACAGATAATAAACAAGTCCATCAATGGATACATATATATGTACATAGATACACTGTATGTCTTGTTATAGTACTCTACCGTGCCGTACTCTAGTAAAGTATAGTCCTTCCTTGCACCATTGTGAAAGTTGCCGAAGTCTACAGCATGATATTCGCGAGGGTTGGTCTGGCGCCCCAGAGCGTAGCACTTGCACGGTCGCGTTTCTCGCGATTACGCCCCGTGCTACATGCGAAGTAAAATCATAGAGGCTACTAATAGTAGCGATGTTGAGGCAACATCATAGAGGCCACTTCAGAACACTTAGTCTTGGGAAAACATGGCCTAGGATCCTCACTGCCATTGTGCCAAGAAGCCTCAAAGTCCCTAGGCGATGAACGGCACCTGTGCAGGATTGCAGCAGCAGGACTTGCTGGCTGGATCTGTCTGAGTTGCTGCCTTAGCTTCTGACTCTCGGGAGTTGAACTCCACGTCCGCAAACATAGGCCACGGTCGCAATGCATGCCATCGGTGACGGGAGTCCGGGAGTCGGTTCGGCATTATCAGAGACCTTGAGGTAGTAGTGTCAATAGTAGTGAAAATCGGTCCGAGGGTCTAGAAAGGTAGAGATCAGGGGGCCAGAAGGTCGCGACCTGGACGAGCGCGGCGTCGTGCAGCGAGAGGAGGCCCTGAGCAAGGCCTGGGGTTTAGCGGTTGTTTGAACTTGCGCTTCAGAATCAGTGTCTCGCGCCGGTATATGCATGCCATCGTGCATGCCATTATGAGCACCAACCGCCCTAAAACAGCTGGACCCATCTGAGTTGGCAGAAAGCAGATAAATGCAAATAACATGTGTTTGCAGCGGTTGGTTTTTTGTGCGCCAGGGCCCGGGGGCAGGGCCAGGGCCAGGAGAGTTGCGTTTTCAATGTTACTAGTAACATCAGGAAATTGCACGTATTGCAAACATGCAAGCACATGCAACACAATGCAGACCAGGGATGTGTTTGCGGAGTGGGCAAGATGTGTTTTGTTGCATTTGTTTCGAAGTGGACATGCACCAGAAAAGCATCGTATACCCTCCTGGTCAACGAACATCCTGGAAACACAGTCGCTATCTCCCTGATGCATTTGGAATGGATGGTTTCGCATTTTTCGAACGTGAGTTTTGTCGCAGTTTCTGCATTCTCTTTGGATTTGAGATTTTGAGGGGTTGGGGATCATAAGTACGCCAACGGTTTTTTGTGGCAAATGCAACTGACTTGGCCTTGGCTGACCTGTCAGAGTAATGGCGATGTGCCCTTGTACTCATTGGCAGCTTCGGCCGCGGTCTTGAGTTTTCTTTTCGAGTTCATGCAGACTACGCAGCGAAGCATCCAAAGCCCGCAAGAGAGCCCCAGGTGGAGCGGAGTCTTTCCGGAAAGCCTTAGGTAGACCTGGGCTCCGTCGAGCTCTTCATGTTCAGAACGCTCACTTCCGGCCCTTGGAGCAGCTGACAGGTGATCTACGAACTCTGTGGATCTTTGCGAGCTTTGGAGCGTGTCTGGGCCGCACAGCTCGAAATCGCTTGACTCTACTGGTATATGATTGTGGTTTTTAGATTTACAATCACAAGAGAACATGGCAGGACAAAAGACCTGCGGCCCTGTGTGTAGTGCACGATCCCGTGCTGACGCCATACGGAGTTGAGCCGGAGTTGAGCAGCAGATGCAATTGAGGGAATCGAAAGTCTGAAAGGCAGAAACGACAAAATGGATCCTGCAGTCTGCCACTTATGATCTGTGATATTTTCGGGAATGGAGGACAGTGCAACTGTGGTGTCGTAGACATGAAGTGTGCATTCATTGCGTCGCAATGGAGGAGTACGTAGATCCATTAGGTGTCGGAGGAAGTTGGCACACAGAGCCCGTTAGCAGCCTTGAACTCATATGGTTTACAGAGCCTGAAAGCTCTTGATGCTGGAGTCTGGAACAGCCCCGAACCTCGCAAGTGTCACGAGTCCAGCCCTTTGCATAGGACTCATTACGCTGCACCCAGCTTAGCGACTTAATCGATAATCATTCTGTTAGGTTTAATCCTTTCCACCGAGGTGACTTATAATACCACCAACTCGATGGAGATTTGCAACTTGTACAACTTGTAGGTCCTGGCTGGTCCAGTCTCTGTTCAGATCATTCGGTTGCTTCATATTTCTTCCCAAGGCCAGTAGCTAGACCCGGCAATACCCAAACCCAAGAAGGCACACCCGAAGCAAGCCAGGAGTTATGTCCCTGCGTGGCTTTGTGGACCTCAGCCATGCTACGGCCTGTGCGCTCTCCGGCGCTCAAGAAGAGGCAAACTGAGAGCTTTGGGTTGTGTTTAGAGGGTTTAGGTATCGTGGTGTCGTGTTCATGGCTTGTTCCGATCTTGCACGGTTTTGCGTGTTCGTGATTCGCTTACTGGCTTGAATTTGGTGATTTGCGGATCCGCTAAACGCGTTGTATAGGGCGGAGGGGAGGTTAAACGTGTGACTTACAGGAGCCTACTCGGCTTTGCATGCGGCGTACTGTCAGCATGTGGTATCATGTGGTGTCATTCGTGGTGTTGAGACGTAAGGGGAGCCGAGCGTTCAAGCAATTGGCAAGGAACTGTAACAGGCCTTGGGCCGGCAGGGACCAAGTTTTGCAACAAGAGTTTTCTTTCGTGTCCCGCTTTCGGCCGTACGTCGTGCGGCAAGGCACTCGACAAGGCTTTCAGTTAACTCTGAAGTGCACATAAGGTGTTGCTCGGCGAGGCAGTGTACCTTTGAACAACCCTTCAGGTAGGTTGTGTTGTAGTGGGCCCTAGAGCTAGCCTGCTTCAGCATCGCGTCCCGAACATTATGGATGCAAGCTCCAAGCGATCTGGAGTTTGGCCGAGAATCTTGCAGATTCAGAGGTTTGCTGTGCGTGCGTTGGAAGTCGAGTTTAAGGTGCAGCAGACTAGCGACTTGTATTTTGCAGATGAGTTTTGTCGTGCGGGCCGCAGACTTGAAATCCGGAAGTCCTTGTTGCATTGTCGTGGTTGTGCGTGTGTGTGTGTGTCTGTGTCTTTGTCTGTGTCTGTGTCTGTGTCTCTGTGTGTGTGTGTGTTTGTGGCTGTGGCTGTGGCTGTGGCTGTGGCTGTGGCTCTGTCTGTGTGTGTGTGTGT